CTTTCATAAGGAGGCATAATCTCACCTACTAACTTCTGCACACTCTCTCTTCATCAGTACAGCTATAGGATTACTTCTGCACTTTTCCAGCCCTTATCACTAGTGAATTTCCAAACCAGCCATTAATGGCCTCTCAGTCCAGCCTATCTTCAGAAAATCATGCTCCAATCATATTACAAATAGAAAGTTCCCAATTTTCTTTAATCAGTGATGCCTACAGTTAGGTTCAGATGTCCTCATATACTCATTTGTAACTTTTCTTTGCTTTGGATACTCTCCCTTTCTCCTGTTTTTCTATCTTTCTTTTCCTCCACGCTTAATCTCTAACTATAACGGTGTTCCTATGTCTGTAAATTGTTCCTATATTCTGAGGTGTGCAGGCCAAATTTATGCTGGAGTGTTCCCTCGGATGTCTTGCTTTAATCCTTTATTTCTCAGTTTTGGTCAGTAAAGGACCACAATGTCTTAGAAGCCTCCTTAGCTGGTCGAGTAGCGACTTCAGCACTGCAGTGAATGACGTTGCTGGTACATATTGTTTGTCCAACACAGTGGTGCTGTACTTTCTGAACATAAAGTCGAAGAGGGATGTTGTGAAGCTTCTTAAAATAGCAGGTATCTCAATATCTGGTTGAGCATGTGGGAAACAAAACAAAGGATCTATTTGGATAAGATACTAGGAACAGGTTTTGAAGTTCCTGATTCACTAAAAAAATGAAGAATAAATTAAGGGTAGAAATGTCTCTTTGCAGTTTTCACCTGTGATATTTCATAATGAAGGGGACTTAGTATAATCTATAAAAATGCTTAATATTAAGGCTCTATTTAATCACTTATATTTATAATAAGCACTTTTATTTTCAGCCTCTGTTTATTTCTATTCCAATTTATTTGAATACTAATTGTAATTTTTAGATTAAATTCTAAGGGTTTTTAAACAACAGGTTTTTGCAGTAAGTTGTAATGAAATAAATTTAGTCAAAACTGTTCTTTTATGCTGTTTCTTTACAGTAAACTCTATAAAATGCTTACTGTAGTATACCTGTACTTTATTTGGAAGGTTATATCTCGCATTAAGGAAAACACATGTTTTTTTTCCTCTTAAAGCATTGTCCCTCTTGATAAAAATCTTTTATGTGATGTTGTGCCTATGACATCAAACATGCAAAGTCTTGCCATCACCCAGCTGTTCAGTGACAAAACAAAAGAAGGCTAATTTGCCAAATGTGAATTGATGCAAGCTCCTGTTAGAATAAACAGATAGGCTTTTCCTTTTAACACTACACTGCTTCTAGATCTAGAATCAGAGTCTTGTCTAATGAGGTCCAAAGCTTTATGCCAAGTTTAGTGTTAAACAGAGAAAATTCTGTCTTGCCAGTCAGTGGTGGACTGTAAGTTCTTTGCACTGTGAATTGCATCACTGTGCTTAATACAGGGCCCAATATTGAAACTATAAAATGGTTAGTATTCATTGTAGTTCTTTTAGTACATTTCAGATAATTTAATTTCCATTGAAGTCAGTAAAACTGACTTCAATGGAAAAATATGTTGATTTAAAACATTAAGAAATCACAGCATTTGTCCCAGATAAAATTGTCTCTCTTTTCATTTGCCCTTTCTTTGCTCAGTTGACTAATTGTTGCCGTGTTGACCAGCCAAACTTATATAAATATTTTATTTTGAGTGCTTGAGACTATAACAATCATTTTGCAACAAGTAATGGCAAAACATCAAGAAGTGTATTGAGTAGGCTGAGCAGTAAGGAAGAAATGAATGTGCAAAAGGCCAACCAACTCAACATTAAGACTATTAAGACTCTTCTGGGTCACTGAACATTATTTGGGACATTTACCATTGTTGTGGGATTTTTACATAATTGTGATATTTTACCGATAAATAAATGTTTGTATAGAAAAAGTTTTACTAGTGATTTTATTTTAAGCCTCCATTTATTAATGTATATTACCTGTATATATTTATGGACTTGAATTTTGAGGTCAGCATCGTTTTGCTAGTTACAACAAGCGCAGATCCATTAACTCAATTGGATTTATATAAAGGCTGACTCATAATTCAGCAATTGATTCAATGGGTCTATTCTTAAATGAGGCCAGCAATAGGATACTAGCTAAAGGGTGGTTAAGAGCTCCTGAATAGTTCAACGCTTTCATATCTGGTTGTGGGGCCAGAGGTTGGGAGTTCAGTTCTCCTTGACAGGAGCTGGACTCAATGATCCACAGGGTTCCTTCCAACTCTGTGGAGTTTTAAGAATATATTCAAAAAGCTAGCTGTATCTATAAATAATCAAATAGATTTAACAGCAGGGTATATGCATTCCTCTTGTTTTATACATACTTTAGTGGTAGTATATTTTCCAGCATCTGCATGGGCACTTGAATAATCTAAAGTTGAGCTTTTGATCTGTTTTGCTTCATACCTCAACGATTGGCATACATTTTTCTGATGGACGAGGAGGGGGAAGCTATAATGCTGAATGTGGTTTTGTTTTCTACGCAACCTTTTTTTGTTTCGCAGCAGCCTTCTCTTGAGTCATAGTATATTGGGATGCCTCTTGCAGATATAGAGTGAATTGTGGCTCAGAACATAGTGAACTGGGGCTTCAAATATCTTCTCATCCTGTGCGAATACATTTTCTTCATATGATATAGACCATTGAAAAGGTAATATATACACAAACACAAACTCGTATGTTTTGCTACCACTTTTAGGACCTGGAAAAATGACTCTTTTAGATTAAATCTCCCAGGATCCCTTAGCCAGCGAAACTAATGTTTCTGGCTTTTACCCATTTATATAGCCCTGCTCTTGCACTATGTACATATAATATAGAAGAAATATAAGAGTGGGAAGTGTTGTGGCAAATGTTGAATCTGAAGGCAGTGTGAATTACGTTCATCAACTGCCTCTGTATCATTTACAGGTTTTTGCTATGAAAAAGCATTTTAATGTTTTTTTTAAAAAGTGTTTTGAACTTAGGAAATAATTCATAAAGTTTCAGTAAAACTTCACATAACAAGTAAAAGGTAACAGGGTCTTTGTCAAACTCATGGTATGGTTTCAGCCTGTTGATAAGATGAATTATTAATATTGCATAGCTTCATAAAATATACATTCCAATTTCCTTATGGTAACATTTGGCTGCTAGGCTTACTGCAAATGTATAATCTGGTAATTTAAATATTGCATTATTATATAAGAACAATGATTTTACATTTCATGAGAAAATTAAAATAAATAAAATTATTATAGTTTTCTCTGGATAAGAGGAGTAGGAAAGAAGCCCTTAGCTTTTCAGAAGAAATATCAAGAATGCAGAACTAAGCTTGTGTAATGTTTGTATCAGCTGCATTCAGTCATTGCTATACAAGCACAGTTCTGAGGCTTGCTCAGCTTCTGGTATTGGAGAAGCCCAAGGCCAAAGATGTCCATTTTAAATACCAAAGACATATAGGTCAGTAGCATCAAAAGGACTCAAGTCTTTGTGAGTGGTGACTTCACACCTAAGTCAGTGTTCTCTGCTTCTCATTATGTGCTATAGAAGGTTTCATTTCAGCTGCCTTCTTGATGCTGCCCTTTACTAGGCAAAAATTATCTGATAAATATATTAATTTCACTGTGGTGCATCTGATGTGAACAAAGAAAGATTAAGGTGAAATTGCAAAGCACAAGCAGGGAACAAGTGCTGTGGCAATTTGTTGAAAGATACAGGAATGGTGTTGGGCTAAACATATTAAAATATATATTTTATTTTCAGCTATAAAGTATTCCAAACTATTTTATTACTATTTTCAGGCCCTTATGTTCTACCTCACTGAATGCATCCTTGTGCCATTGTATGTTTTTGAAATGTCACAGTAAAGGCCTAGAACTAATTCAATACTTGTGACTAATGCTAGGATTTTTGACTTCTCTCCTTCTTCCCTGCTTTTGTCCATATAATGCCAGTTTTGACTATGATTACCAGATTGTTTTTTTATTAGCATTTTTTTTTAAAAATCCCACTTTAATCTAGGGCTAGTTTTTAAGTTGGAAAAAAGATTTCATTTCCATATCAGATTAATAAAATGCAAACATTTTGCAAGAATAGCATTTGCACAAGGCAGAAGACATGACTGAAAAAAAGACAAGAACCTGGTTAACTCAGTTCTAAGGCATGCATATCTCACTGCAGAAGAATGGTGGATGCAGATTCACAACACTGGCTTATTTATAGCAAAAATTAAAAAAAAATAGTTGTGACACCTTATAGACTGATTTATTTCAGTCCCAACTGCCATGAATCACAACCTACTTCCTCTGACACCACTGTTTTTATTTTTACTTGAAATGCTGGAACAAAATATGGCTATTTTGAGAAGTTTGGGTTAGTTATATGGTAGGAATAAGACTGCTGTTCCCAAGACACTGAAGTATCACGCATGTAAAAGGAATGCCCTTCAAAGGTGATGAAATTATTCTGTTGCTTGAAATACCCATTTCTCAACTTGATTTAAGTATTTCTAATACGGTGCACATGTTTTTGCATATGTTCTACTTGTGGGCTTTCCCCCTCCACACCTCTGTCTACTGTTTGCATTTGGAGGTTATACATATACTCCTAAATAAGCATATGGTTCCCATATGCAGTCTGTTCATTTCTGGGACTGTACCTAGGCTCAGGTACAAATGCCACAGGGAGGCCAATTTCTATTTCCTTACATGCAATCTGAGCATCCAAACAGATTCATTTCTACGGGGTCCAATGGTTTTTAATTGGGTAAGCACGCATGAGGTTGCAGCCTTAATTAGCTACTGTAAAACAAAAATGTTTGCTGCCATCTTTTATTCTGAATGAGCTATGCATATTTAATGAATATCGCATAACACTGGAGTTTTTGGTATATATGTTGGGTGAGAAGAGCAATATATTGACATTTCTTGTGCTTTAAACAGCTTTTCTTTTAATTTATTACAGATGCCTGAGGATTTCCAGACTGTTGAAATGTTCTGAACACTTTCTGCCTTTCTAACAATGAACAGTACAAAATCACTGCCGTTGGCTGGAATTGGTGTATTTTCCAACACTACCTGCCCCACAGAAAAGAAGATCTCTGTGTTTTTTTCTGTTATCTTCATGACGGTGGGGATTTTATCCAACAGTCTTGCAATAGCAATTCTCATGAAGGCATATCAGAGGTTTAGACAGAAATCAAAGGCATCTTTTTTGCTTTTTGCCAGTGGCTTGGTTATCACAGATCTGCTGGGCCATCTAATCACAGGAACCATTGCAGTTTTTGTGTATGCATCGGACAAAGACTGGATTCGATTTAATCAGTCAAACGTTCTCTGCAGTGTTTTTGGAATGTGTATGGTATTCTTTGGACTATGTCCTCTTTTTCTGGGCAGTGTGATGGCTGTTGAACGCTGCATTGGAGTCACTAAACCAATATTCCATTCAACAAAAATGACTTCTAGACATGTAAAACTGATGTTGACTATGGTATGTCTTTTTGCCATTTTCATAGCTTTGTTGCCTATACTTAGGTTACGAGCTTATCAAATTCAGGCATCAAGAACCTGGTGCTTCTATAGAACAGAGCATTTTGAAGACTGGGAAGACAGATTTTACCTCTTGCTTTTTTCATGCTTGGGTTTACTAGCCCTTGCTATTTCATTTGTATGCAATGCTGTGACGGGAATTACACTTTTAAGAGTCAAATTTAAAAGTCAACATAGACAAGGCAGATCTCATCATTTTGAGATGATCATTCAGCTCTTGGCTATAATGTGTGTCTCTTGTATTTGCTGGAGCCCTTTCCTGGTAAGAGCTTACTCATTTTGCCAGTTGTTAATGCATGCTTCAGTACAGACATTTCCACCCTTTTAGTTGCATAAAAGTAACATAAGAAGCAAGAAAATGTGATGCTTCATTAGTATATCTTAACCTATGGTTTTAGTAGCTCATACTTCAAATGGTACTAAAAATACTCTAAATACCATGCATGAACATAATAGTAACCCTTTCCAGATATCCAGCCTATTGCAGGTGAACATACATGAAGTGGTGGTAGGTATCTTGAAGTAGAACTGGGTGTTTTATTTGTTCCAAATCTAGCTGCATTTATCTGAAAGCTGGAATAGAACCTGTGTGAACGTAACTGTACATGTGTTAGGGGATTGTCCTGCATAGCCATGAAGTCTCTTTTCTTAGGGCATGAATACACTGACAATAAGAACTGATGTTGAATCAGGTTTTGCATAATATAAACCAATTTAAAAAAATACTAGCTACATGATGCATCACAAAGCCTGCTTCCTTTTGACCACAAACTGAATGTGTTTTTTTCTTTTTGTTTTTGCAGGGGCTGGCAGGGGCTTTTTAATTTAACATGCTTGTGAAAGTGATTCTTTATGAATTGTTTTGGACAATGTGAACATTCCTGTCGTATTAAATACTGCATTTGTGGGCGGTCACAGGTTTCAGAAATAATACCGCTATGCTGCTATGCCACTTAAAATTTATTAAATACTGCCTTTGTGGGTGATTGTAGGCTTCCAAAGTAATGTCACTAGTGTCACTTAAAATTTATTTTAAAAGAGAGAGAGAAATGCACATATTCCAAAGGATGCCTGAAAACAAAAGAAATACTGCACAATATTGAAAGCAAATGGGAAAGAGAAGGTTTCAATCACTGGCAATGTGCCGGGATCAGTGACAATGGAAACTATGCAGTTCACACACATGCCGGTTAATGAAATGATTGAAAATCTCACGTGTAGTTTTCTGAAGCAGTTTTAAGTTCTTTACAGTATTTCAGAACAATAATTTTCAAAGTGAACGTGCACAGTGATACTAAAACCATATGACTGAAAATCAATTCAGAATTCATCAGGGCCAGCAGTGTAACTGTGCCCTCATTTTTATACACAGGGTTTCAAAAGGATCTTCAAATGAACATGATATTCAAATTAGCATGGGTTCTACAGCTACAATCCTCTTTTTCCACTTCCACAAACAGTTTGAAAGTGCACTAAGCTTATTAAAACCTGGTTGCCACACACCTCTCCTATTTATTGGGTAGCATATCTCTTGTTCTTATTACTGTTCTGGGTTAGCATTAGATTTCAGCAGAAAGAAAATAAAATATAAAAACAAGACATGCAGACTGTATTCAGTAGTTTAGTACAGTAATGTGTTTTACCTTTAGGTCTAACACTTTCAGAGAAGTATTCTTAGATAAAGATACTAGGGTGCTACAAACTCCATGTTCCACACTTATGGGTGGCCTTCTCTGAATTTCAGGTGGAGCTAACTATGAAGGTTTTTAATGAATTTCCCAAAGGGCTAATTCTGGGCTATTGTCACTTTTAAAGCAAAGCTCTGTACTTGGGAAACAGGGCAACTGCTGACTCTGAGAGTGATGTAACTCCTAGGGTCTAACGGTCCCCTTTGCCAAGCCTTCAGTGCTGTCAGATGCTTGAATCATATTTTGTATTAAAGATAAAGATAAAAAATTCTACTCTCTCAGCTGAAAGTCCTTTTTTGGGATCATTTTCAGACCATAGCCCCCCTGAAAGCTGTACATATGTTTTATCCTCTTGTCATGACATTGGATTTGCACCTCTGCTTTCCCTCCAGCATAAAATATTAGACTTTACAGATTGTAGATGATTAAACTGTGAAAATATTGAATATCAGAGTAGTCTGTTTTATGAAATCTTTTATGAATTATAGTGTTTTTCATATTTATTGGTTAGTTCTTCCTACCAAGTGCAATGTGAGGAACAGAATTAAGGTAAAGGTTCCCCTTGACAATTTTGTCCAGTCATGTCTGACTCTAGAGGACGGTGCTCATCTCCGTTTCCAACCCATAGAGCTAGCGCAGACAATCCTCTGTCGTCACGTGGCCAACGTGACTAGACACAGAATGCCGTTTAGCTTCCCACCGAGGTGGTACCTCTTTATCTACTCGAATGTTTGCATTTTGCATGCTTTCGAACCGCTAGGTTGGCAGTAGCTGGGACAAGCGACAGGGGCTCACTCCGTTGCATAGATTCAATCTTACAACTGCTGGTTGTCTGACCCTGCAGCACAGAGGGTTCAGCGGTTTAACCTGCAGCACCGCCACATCCCTTCACACAGAATTAATTACTGGATCTTTAATTTATCCATAGAAAATAGGTATGAGCATATCAATTAGGAGAAAAGAAAGTATGTATGTTTTAGAAACAATGACTGGTGTTGTAGCTATTCTTATTTCTCATTTCTTAATGTTTACTGTTCACCAAAGTTCCTGCAGTGATGTATAATAGAAAAGGCAAAAAGAAAGTTCTTGAAAAAGAGATTAAAACTGATTTTTAAGGAGCAGTTTTAAAAGAAAGGCTGTATGTAATCATTTATATGAAACAGCTTCTGGATGCCCTCTGGGAACTCAGCAAAGATGTACCCAGCCTAATTTCTTTTTTCTCGCCGTTTACTGATGTTTTTTGTTACTTTTGAAATAGGTAAGCAGCTGGTGAAGACAGGCAAGCAGGTTTGCTTTCAAAGACAGTTTTGCCTTTCTAAACATGGTTGCTGTCATTTGTAGTGGCAACTTTGCTGCCTTCATCAAGCAAATTGGTTTTGTTTTTGTCAGTTTCAGACAGAATGCTCCATAAAATGCTGTATCTGAACACAGAATTGTTTCCATGGGTATTCTGTCCAAAATGACAAACAGGGGTCCTGCCACTTAAAGCAGCAACAAAACACTTCTTTGGATTATAAACCGGAATGGCAAACAGCACAAGATATACTGACCAAAGAAAGATATTGGCATGTTGGATCATTATAGTATTATTTAACCTGCAGCTTACTATATTTTGTACCAGGTAGATGTCTTCAGAAGTGTGTGATTAGTTTGTCAACTGTGTGATAAGTTTATTGTCTGTCTTAAGTAACTAATACAGTGGTGCCTCGCTTAACTATTACCTCGTTAAACGACGGAACCGCTTGATGAAGAGGTGTTTGCGATCGCTTTTGCGATCGCAAAACGATGTTTTAATGGGCAAAATTTGCTTCCTGACGATTGGTTCCCGGCTTCGGGAACCGATTCTTCACATTACGACGATCAAAACAGCTGATTGTTGGGTTTCAAAATGGCCAACTGCTGTGTAAAATGGCTCCCCGCTGTGCTTTACGGCGGATTTTTCGCTGCACAGGCATCAGAAAATGGCCGGCCTATGGAGGATCTTCACTGGACGCTGAGGTATTTAACCCATTGGAACGCATTGAGCGGTTTTCAATGTGTTTCAATGGACTTTTTTATTTCGCTTGACGAGGATTTCACTCTAGAGCGATTTCGCTGGAACGGATTATCCTCATCAAGCGAGGCACCACTGTACATTGTTAAATAGGTTTTAAAAATTCAATACAGCATTCATATAAATCAGTTTGACAGCTGACTATACAGCTTAGAATTATTATTTTTCCTTCTGCTGACAAGAAATTGAAAAGCAGAACTGGATATTACAGTTTTGTTGCTCTGAGCAGTTAAAGTCAAGGAGAATAAAAACATTACCTGAACCGAGATAGTAAAAAGCTAATAGATCTCTAAGACAAACTTCACTGAAGTTCAGGTTGGACCAAAATGATATTGGTTCAGAATGCCGTTCCATTTTTAAGGTGTCATAGTTTCTCTTTGAATCTATTTGCATGTTATTATTTGCAGTTCTTCTCATATTCATATATATGACAACTAAGAACTGACAGACCTATTTTGCAAATTAGTTTGTGAACATTACAATCCAAAACAGACTGGTTATTTTACAAAGCTTGTCCTTACATATTCCAAATGCACACACTGCATTTCCTGTGCATGCAGTTATGGCTAAATTATTGTAGTTGGCTCTGTGTCAATTGATTTCAAGAGGGTCTAATTATATTAAGAGAAAATCTTCCACTTAAGTGGTTTGCAGTGCACAATCTGCACTTTCTCTGGATGGTTAGGACAGGCATTTAGATACATGAAACTGATAATTAGGTTATCGAGGAATGGCATTTGTGATAATGAGTATAATCACTTTAATAAAAACTGATGGGGATAGCTCTGGATGAAGCCTCATGCTCAGATCTTCAGAGGAGTTGGGTTCCATGTGTACACAAAATAATTATAAAAAAAGATACATGTGTACTTTAAGCAACTCAGAGTTCTCATACCATTTTCCAGTGCCATGAGAATAATGAAGTGTGGGTAAACAGTGAATATAAAATAAAAATGCAGTCAAATTATGTAGATGATCTATTCTACTGAAATACAGGAAACCTGGAGCACATCATGGAGACCAATGAAGGTTCCTGACTCAGCAGTAAATATTATTTGTTGTGATTGCTTGTTGAGGGCATGTTATAAGCACTGACTTTGAAGAATGTTCTGTCAGGAAAAGAGAATCTGCAGTCCTACAATGAAAGACAAATATTTCCATCCGCATAAAAATCAACTAAATAGCATGAAGTGGAAATAATATTTTATTAGGATTTTTACAAGTTTAATGACGCGTAACTGAGATATGAGTTCACTCTGGAAAAAAAATGCAGCTGTGTGGAGGCATATTTTCATGATGTGCAAATGTTTGTTTAAGGAAGCCATTTTAAGTGTGGCTCTGAAATACTTTGTTGTTTTACATATTATCTCACCTCAGATGACATTTGCTGAGTTTTCTTGAATGATCCAACTGTGAATGAGATGGGAAAATAGATAATCTAGTTTACTGAGTCAAAGTAAGTCATGGTCTACTTATGATGCATGAGAACACTGCATTACTGTGCATGCCTACATAGAAATA